CCTCTTGGAAGGCAGGTGCTGGAGAAAACCCAAGTTTGCTTTGATTTTTCTCCCTGTTCCCTTCACATTCCTTCCTAGGATAAATTTAGCCAGCCCTCCCTTTGAACGGCAGTGCCCGGGACGAGACTTTGTTCTCTGAGTCGGTGTCAGAGCCATTGGCTCAGCTGCAGCCTTGGGCCAACAATGAAGACTCCTGGGTCAGAGGCCTGTCCTCTGCCCCAAACACTCGTGACCCGCCCTCTCATCCTTGCACAGTCTCTGTGGGAATCAGTCGCACATCTCTGAGACAAGGACCTTGAATTCTCCCAGACAAGGGACAGATTACACAGGGTCTAGAAGGGCTTTGAGATCCTGCACATGGGCTACCTTATCCTGAACAGCCAGCCACCTAGATCTCAGGACTGGCAGGTCAGGAGTCTTGAGCAGGGACCTCAGAGGCATTCGTGCAGATCAGAAACCTGGCTCCAGCAAGTTCCCTTCTCATCCATCTCCTCATCTGTAAAATGGGTCAACAGCAGTGTGGTCTTCACACTGAGTGAGATGAACAGAGATGCTTCTATTAAGGGATCTGCATCTCTTTCTGGTGCTCTATCAGCCACGGGTGGGGAGATGGTGATGGTCTACACCTACCCCCGGGTCACCCTGTAAGCCACAGGAAGACTTCTGGGAGCCTTCTGCCCATTGCAGATATAGTGCTTCCTTTCCAGACTTTTTAAAACTATCCGGAGAGTCCTCCTTGGATAATTATGCTCTCAGACCTCACCATCTTTACTTTATGGAAATGACATCATCCATCCTATTATCCTCCCCACTGCTGCAACTTTAATTCATTCTGTTAAGCCTTGGTTGTGAAATCCCTCTCCCTCCCTGAAGACCAAAACTTCTCATAGTTTTAAAGATGGCTCAGCCCCTCTCTTTTCCTGACTTTCAAGCTTCTTCCGGCTAAGTGGTTGCACTTATTTCAGCTGCCTTTCTGGGCTACTCTTATTTTACCCTGGGTGTTTGTATGTTTGCTTGTTTGTAGAGATAGGGTCTTGCTATGTTGCCCAGGCTGGTCTCAAACTCTTGGCTCAGGTGATCCTTCCACCTCGGCCTCCCAAAGTGCTAGGATTATAGCTGTGAGCCCCTACACCTGGCTCACTCTGAGTCTTACTGTCTCTTGAGATCCTCTTGCCTCCCTGCCTCCCCCTTCAGCTGCAAAGTCCACAGGGAAACACCTTCCCAAACCAGGCTTCCCTGGAAACTTTTTTCTCACTGAGTAGTTTTCAGCCTTCCTAGGGCAACAGATACATCACTCAGGCACACAGCTCTGGCCATGCCCACACACAGTGGGGACAGATGATGTGCTCCTTGCTCTCCTGCGCTTCCTCCTGACCCAGATAAAGCTCTCCAGGCCTGAGCTTCCTTCTCTGTAAGATGGGGATGGGACGGGTGGGTATACCAAGAGGAGACGTGGGTGGTCTCGATGGTGGCTCACACCTGTAATCTCAGCACTTTAGGAGGCTGAGGCAAGAGGATTGCCTGAGTCCAGGGGTTTGAGACCAGCCTGGGCTATTTGGCAAGACCTCATCTCTGCAGTCAATCAAAAAATTAGCTGGGCATGATGGTGCACATCTGTGGTTCCAGCTACTTGGAAAGCTGAGGCAGAAGGACTACCTGAGCCCAGTTGGCCGAGGCTGTGGTGGACATGAATGTGCCACTGTACTCCAGCTTGGGTGACAGTGAGACTCTAATTCAAAAGGGGGGGTGGTGATCGAATGAAAGGACTGTGCCTAAGGCTGTGAAGGGCCCCAGAGCTGGCAGCAGGGGCAAGCCACTGCCCTCTTGGCTGGTAGGCAAGGACAGGGAATACTTCCTAGAACCTGGAGAACTAAGCCACCCTTAGAGGCCCAGTCATCTCAACACCCTGCTCTCTTTCCTCCCATCCTCTGACTGAACACCCCAGAAACAGGGCAGGAAACGTGGTAGAAGCCATCTCTGCAGACCGAGCTCCCAGGGCCCAAGATGGATGGGGAAGGGGCAGAGAACAGGTGGAACGGGTGTGAGGGGCAGATAGAATCTCTAACACAGAATCTCCATGGCCCCCGGCTCCGAGGGCTGGTCTCGGCAAGCGTCTATCCTCTCTCACCGATAGACCTTTGAGGGGGCATGAGCACAGTCATTTTTATAGACATAGAAGCTGTCACCCCGAGGACTAAGCAAGGTCTTACTGATAGCAAGTGGTGGAGCCAAGACTTAGACTTATTTCTGAAGGTCGCACTGAGAGATGGAAGCCTAGCCGCCAGGGGCTGGTGTTTTAGGATTTGAGGCGACCGTTCTCCCTCCCATGCCTGTCATCATGCCATGACTGATCACGAGGCCTGAGCATATCCTCTCCCTGCGGTACAGTTTCCAACACAGGCGCGCCCAGGAGGAGTATCCCATCAATCACTGAACACGTTCAGGGATGCGTTTCTCAGTCCCCTGTTGGGAGAGGCCTGGGAATCCATGGGGATTGGAAACGCAGAAAGGGAGCAATGATGGCCCCACAGTCAAGGCGCCTTCTGGGACCTTTCACTCCCATGATCCCACTTAATCCCCTGCCACTTCCCGAGGTCACAGCACCAGAAGCCCCTTCTACAGCTGTGGGGACAGTAGCCCCAAGAGATAACATTTTGCTGATGTTCGAGTTTTGCCTAGGATGGGCAGAGCCACACAGGGAGACCCCAAGTCCAACTCTTATTCACCGCAAAACCTCAGGTGAATCTCCTCTTCACCGAAGGCACCCGGGGGCAGCAACACGCACCTCTTTCTGTTGAATGCTTACCTGCTTGTGGTGGGAATGAAATGTAATTATCCTCCTAAGTCCCCAGCACAATCCCTGACATGCAGAAGCCGAGGCAGAGAAGGTATAGTGGTCAAAGTCTTGGGCAAATCTAGCACTGAGTTTCGCCCACTGGGTTACCCTGGATGAGTCACCTAACTCCCTCGGAACCTTGTTTGAAAAATAGAGCAGTTGGCCAGGTACAGTGGCTCGCGTCTATAATCCCAGCACTTTGGGAGGCCGAGGCGAGAGAATTGCCTGAGTCTGCGGGTTCGAGGCCAGCCTGGGCATCATGGTGAGACCTCGTCTCTACAATAAACCAAAAAATTAGCCAGGCGTGGTAGTGCATGCCTATAGTTCCAGCTGCTTGGAAGGCTGAGGCGGAAGAATCACCTGAGCCCAGCAGGCCGAGGCTGCGGCGGCTGGGAGCATGCCACTGCACTCCAGTCTGGGTGACAGAGTGAGACTCCAACTCAAAAAAAAAAAAAAACAAAAGAAAGAAAGAAAAATAGAGCAGTCACATTCATATTTGGTTTGGTCCATTTTCAGAACACTGAATCTGGGTAATTATAAAGAAAATGAGATCTAGGTGCGGTGGCTCAAGCCTGTAATCCCAGCACTTTGGGAGGCCGAGGCAAGAGGATTACCTGAGTGCAGGGGTTTGAGACCAGCCTGGGCAACTTGGTGAGACCTCGTCTCTACAATAAATCAAAAAATTAGCCAGGTGTGGGGGTGCACACCTGTAGTTCCAGTTACTTGGAAGGCTGAGGTGGTAGGATCATCTGAATCCAGCAGGTCGAGGCTGTGGTGGCCATGAGCATGACACTGCACTCTAGCCTGGGCAACAGAGTGAGACTCCAACTCAAAAAAAAAAGGGAAAAGGAATTTAATTCTTACATTTATGGAGGCTGAGAAGCCCATGGTTGAGGAGCTGCATCTGCTGGGAGTCTTCGGGCTGGTGGGGACTCCACAGGGTCTAAGGAGCTCAGGGCATCACATGGTGCTGGCTCAAGTCTCCCTTCCTCTTTGCATAAAGACAGAGGTTCCCCTCTCATGATAGTCTATTAGTCCCTTAATCCGTGAACAGATTAATTCACTCATGAGGACAGAGCCCTCATGATCCGATCACCTCTTAAAGGCCCCACCTCTTAATGCTGCCACATTTTTTTTCTTTTTTTTTTCTTTTTTTTTTTTTGAGTTGGTGTCTCACTCTGTTGCCCTGGCTCCAAAGTGCAGTGGCACAATCACGGCTTACTGTGGCCTTGACTTCCTAGGCTCAGGCAATTCTCCTGACTCAGCTCTCAAGTAGCTGGAACCACAGACACCTGGCTAATTTTCTTTGTGTGTAGAGATGAGCTCTCATCTTGTTGCCCAGGCTGGTCTCAAACTCCTGGGCTCAAGCAATCCTCTCGCCTCGGTCTCCCAAAGTGCTAAGAGTACAGGCATGAGCCACCGTGTCCAGCCTTAAGTTTCATCATAAATTTTGGAAGGGACATTCAAACCATGGCACTATCCCATAAGTGTGAAATGAGATGAAGTATCTGAAAGCACTTTTTAAAACTGTTCTATAAATGTAAACGTATTTCTTCAGCAATAACAACCGCCAACACCAGTGAATATTTCCTGAGTGCATGCTGTGTTCCAGGCGCTGTCTAAACCTCTGATGTGTATGGTTTCACTCAATCCTCATGGCAACCCTGTGAAGTGGGACTTGCAGCAGGACTTGTGTGTTATTCCCACTAGCAAATGAGGAAGTTGAGTCTCGGAGAGGTTCAGGCACTGGCCTGAGGTTGCACAGCTGGTAAATGGCAGAGCCAGGCTTTGAGCCCAGGTAGGCCTGTGGAGTGGCCTTGGGAGACCCAAACAAATGGAACTGAAGAAGCTTGAAGCCCAGCAGTGTTTCAAACTTTTGTACACATCAGAATCACTGAAGGAAATTATTCAAAAGGGAGATTCTTGGGCTCCAAACAATGAAATGCTGATTCTGTGGGTTCAGGATGAGGCCCAGGAATCTGTGTAATTAACAATTCCCCAAGATAATGCCTGTGCAGGGGATCAGCTCACCACACAGGGAAGACTGTGGCCATCAATAAGGACTGATTGATGAGGAAGGTTCATAGGGCCTGGGGGACTTGGAGGTTCGAGGCAAGAGAGACAGGAGCACTCCGTGGGACCCATCCTCACCTCTGACTTCCAGGTTTGCCAAGTACTATAAAATGGAGAACGGGAGCGAGTACCGCACACTCCTGAAGGCGTTTGGCATCCGCTTCGACGTTCTGGTGTATGGGAATGTGAGTCCTTGGGCCAGGCAGGTGGGATGGACAGGGCGGTGGCCCGGGGTAGCTTGTGAATTCCAAAGAGTCTGCCCTGGCTGTTGGAGTCTGCCACTGACCAGCTCTGACTGCCCCAGCTGGTCACTTCCCCGTCTCCTCACCTGTGCGGAGAACGGGTGGGACCAGTGGATCCACCAGGAACCCTCGGCCTTACCCCACCCTGCGGGGCCTCTGCCCACTCGCCTTGGTCTCTGTGCACAGGCTGGCAAGTTCAATATCATCCCCACCATCATCAGCTCCGTGGCAGCCTTCACCTCCGTGGGAGTGGTGAGTTCAGCCCCTGCTGTCTCTGACAGACCAGGCAGCGTGGGGTGGGCAGGGGAGTGATGGGCAGGCCTTTCCTCTTGCCAGGTGCCTCGGGGCCCCTTAACTGCTCCCTGCTGAGTCGGCCTGGCTGGAACATCTCCAATCATGGCACACTCACTCCCTCCGGAAGCAGGAGGCTTCACCCACCCATACGGCGGGCAAGGCCATAGCCCTGCTCCAGGGGCTTCTACTCCTCTGTCTGCTTCTCCCATCAGTCTCCTCTCTATGAAATTTTGGGGGCCATTGTCTTGCTAAGCCTCTGGTGTGGCCATGTGCTCTTTGAGCTATGGCTGCCGCCTTGCTTCCTGGCTTTGGCCCCCTCCCCCACCTCAAGGAGGTAAATCTCTCTAACTTCTCTTTCTCTCTCTTTTTATTTTTTTGAGTTGGAGTCTCATTCTGTCCCCCAGACTGGAGTGCAGGGGCACGCTCCCGGCCACCACAGCCTCGACCCCCTGGGCTCCGGCGATCCTTCCACCTCAGCCTTCCGAGTAGCTGGAACTACAGGCGCGCACTATCACGCCCAGCTAATTTTCGATTTTTATTGTACAGATGAGGTCTCGCCAAGTTGCCCAGGCGGGTCTCGAATCCGCGGGCTCAGGCAATCCATTCACCTCAGCCTCCCAAAGGCGCAGGATTACAGGCTGAGCCACCGAGCCCGGTTTGTTGTTTGTTTTATTAATGATGGCCATTCATACTGGGGTTAGGTAGTATCTCAATGTGGTTTTGATGTGCATTTCTCTGACGATGAGTGAGGCTGAGCACTTTTTCATGTGTCTGTTTGCCGTATGTCTTCTTTTGAGAAGTGTCTATTCATGTCTTTTGCTCACTTTTTAATGAGGCTGTTTGTTTTTTTCCTTTCGGTAGCGCCTCCTTTTGATGGAAGTACACTGCGCCGGAGTCAGGAGACCTGGGACCTGATTCTTTAGTGCGAGCCAGTGTGCAGGATGCAGAGGTGCACGGGTGCCCTCGTCAGGGGGGCTTCGTGCTGAGCTGACTTGGCGATCTGCTGTGAGAACCACCCTACTAGTGCTCACCAGCCCCCTCGATTCTGGGATCCGAGAGGAGGCAAGACAGTCCTCCCTGGAACATCCTCACACCAGCTGAGATTCTGCCCAGGCTGGCTATGCTACCGCTCTCCCCCACGGTGACATCATTCACTTGTTACGCTCATTATTCCGGCAGAGGCAGGACCTGGCTTCAGGGTCCTTCTCAGGATGCCTCAGCAGGCGGTCACTTTGGATCATCCGGTCAGCATGCAGTCAGAGGAAACGTGCTTGCAATGCTGTGTCTGAGCGAATTTGTCTAAAAGCAATTCTAAAATCAACATCCAGAGAGTAGGGCTCATAGGACACTGGGAAAGGAGACAGCAGAGTCAGGCCAATGAGGAACATGGCTATGGCTCACCATGGTCATAGTGAGCCCTTCCTTTTGTATTTCCTCTGTGTGTGTGTGTGTGTGTGTGTGTGTGTGGTGTGTGTGGGTGGGTGCATACGTGCGCTTGTGGCCAAGATCCAAGATAATGGACAGCAGCTGTGGGTTCCGTTGCAGCCATAGAACAGAGTGATCCTATTGATGGAGCTCAGATGAATGTCCTTGGCTTCCCTGGTGTGATTTTCAACCAACTGAGTGAGCTTGTGACTAACTGGGCTAGCTCATTACTCAAAGTGCGGTCCCTGGACCTGTGTGTCAGCCTCCCCTGGGAACTTGTTAGAAATGTGGAATCTCAAGCCTCACTCCAGATCGACTGAAATAGTAATTAAAATTTAACACATGTTAACAAATCACGCAGGTGATGTAAATGCACATGAATGTTTGAGAAGCACTGGCTGGCTTAGAAAAGTCACCGTACAGCACAATGACTTCAGACTGATTCATATCTATATATATATTTTGAGTTGGAGTCTCACTCTGTTGTCCAGGCTGGAGTCGCTGGCACATTCATGACCACCCCAGCATCGACCTGCTAGGCTCCTGCGATCCTTCCACCTCAGCCTTCCAAGTAACTGGAACTACAGGCATGTGCTACCACACCTGGCTGATTTTTTATTTCTTGTAGAGATGAAGTCTCGCCAAGTTGCCTGAACTGGGCTTGAACCTGTGGGCTCAGGCAAGCCACCCACCTTGGCCTCCCAAAGTGCTGGGATTACAGACTGAGCCACCGAGCCCGGCTGATTCATATTTTAAGGGTCTATGATGTGCCCAGAAATGTGTGGGACTCCTTGGCAGATACCAGCCAAGCACGTGACAGGCTCCGTCCTCAAAGGTAGCTCAGTGCGTGTAAAGGCACCCGATTCTTATGAATTAATAAGACTGTTTCCACACACTGGAAAGAAAACCCTGCCTTTTATTTTTCTTCCTCCTTTTGCTGTTAAGCAATGGCAAAATAAAGAGAAAGAAAAGATTCTTTTATCATTTTATGTAGCTCTGCACTACATAGGCCCTAATACCCAGCTTTAAGAATTGCACCTAACCTTCTTGGTGGCTTTGGGACTTGTCTCAATCTTCCAACTCCTCACCCTCATTATTTGCTTCTGTGCCATCAACCTTGCAGAGTACACTGATAAGTCTTTTCTCCTCCTCAGTTATTGTTGATTTGCTGATCCTATTGAAAAGGGCTCAGATTCTTAGGCAATTCCAAAGGCAAGCTACAAGGCTCAGAGTGGAATTGCATAGTGGATTCTGTTTGCTGATAAGAAGAGATATAATCTTATTAAATTGGTCCCTCAGTTTGGGGTCTTGTTCTGGGACCTATTGTTTGTTTATTTAGTTGGAGTCTCACTCTGTTGCCCAGGCTGGAGTGCAGTGGCTCATGGCCACCGCAGCCTAGACCTGCTGGGCTCAGGTGATCATCCTGCCTCCGCCTTCCAAGTAGCTGGAACCACAGACGCGTGCCGCCATGCCCGGCTAAGTTTTTGATTCATTTAGAGATGAGGTCTTCTCACCAAGTTGCCCAGGCTGGTCTTGAATCCCTGGGCTCAGGCAATCCTCTTGCCTCTGCCTCCCAAAGTGTTGGGATTACAGGCGTGAGCCACTGCACCTGGCTGTTCTGGTATCTAAACAGTCCCCTGAGAAGGGATTCTCCATCTAAGTGGGCACTGAATAGCCAAATGACAGATGCCAACTAAGCTAATCAGATGACATGCCCTCTTATCATACTTCTCTATCTTCAGGAGACTTGCCACTCTGGACTACCATCTTGGGAGGCTGAGCTGCCCTTCCGTGAGTAATGCTAGATTGCTGTTATCTCTGCTTTCATTGCTATGGGTCAGACTCAATGGTGTCACCGTTTGATAAGTCCTCTTAACATTTAGAAGAACGGTGATTAGAAGACACAAGACAGGGTATCTCTAAAGTCTGTCAAGTGGATAAAAGATGGGCTGTTATGATTCCATTTGCCTTCACTGTCCTCTTTCGGGCCATTAGCTGGTGGCACAGGGCACCTTGCAGCCACTGTCCCTGGCTTCTGCTGGCTACCGACATTCAGGAAGACAGGCCTCTTTAATCTGAATAACCGAGTCTGTGGATTGATTGTATTTCCTTAACTCAGACACTGTTAATAAGAATCTGTCAGCATTTCCATTAAGAAAAGATTTATGATATGAAGACTAATTGCTAGTTGTACCAATGCTCTTGTGTGTGTGTGTGTGTGTGTGTGTGTGTGTGTGTGTGTGTGTGTGTGTGTGCTTCTTTTTTTCCTCTGAGGATTATTTTGGGTGAAGATTTCTGCTCATATGCCATCATGACACAAAACTATGTGGTCCTCCACTGTGCAACAGAATAGTCACTAACTCCATGTGGCTGCTTAAATTTAAATTAATTAAAAATGGAGGAAAGATTTAGTTTCACAGTTGACACCATCTGCAACATTTCAAGTGTTCCATAATTTCTATTGTCACAGAAAGTTCTTTAAGATGTGCTGAGAATGACTTAGAAGGATTTAGAAGAAAGAACATGGTCTTCTTTGTTGTATGGACCTAGGTCCAAATCTCATTTCTGCTGCTAAGTAGCTGAGTGTCTTTGGGTGAGTCATTTGACTTCCCTAAGGGCTCAGTTTCTGCATCTGCTAATGGGGGAATCCTCCCTGTATTACAAGATTCTTGTGAGGATTACGTTAGATGGTCCTTCTGAGAGCCCTGGCATCAGGGCTCAATTGGTGTCAACCTCCTTTCTCCTGTTTCTCCTGCAGAACAATCTATGAGGGAGAATCCTCAAAAAAGGAATTATTTTTTGGAGGGTGGGTCCCTTGAAGAACAGGCTTCCCGTGCTAGGTAAATGTTCTAGGAACTCATCTGTATGAGTGTACCAGCTAGTGTTGTTGTGAGAAGCTGCGTTCAGCTTCAGTGAATTTCTTTGGGAGATTCTTTCAAAACATTTGCCATCTCATGATGGGTGATTTACTAGTGCACCTGCCCACATTGCCCTGAGCGTTCAGTAGTTTTTGACTGAAAGTGGCAATGACCTCTGTGGCCCACCCTCCCTATTCACCTGATCTCCCCCAGAGCCACTTTATTTTTGTTTCCCTGAATGAGAAAAGTCCCCAAAGGGAAACATTTTGCTGATGTGGAAGAGCTGAAACAAAAAATGGGGAAGAAATAAAAGACTTCAAAACTGACGAGTTCAAAAACGGTTTTTAGCAGTGAAAGGAGCATCTCGACAGGTGTATTGCATCAAACAATACTTTAAAGGTGGCTGAAATTTAAACGTGTAAGAGTAAATACACAATTTCGAATAATAAATTCCACTTTTTTGGTCTTTTCCTCAAATTTCTCTTAACGCCTAGATTATCTAAGTTCCTGCGAGCTCAGTGTGAGCTTGAAGGTCTGGGCAGGGAGAGGCCTCCAGTGGTAGAAGAGGGGAATTTGTGAAGTCCAAAGGGTCCAAGATTGTGACACCCGGCCAGGCAAAGAAGGGACAGGCTTTGTTTCTTCTGCACCCCCTGCCTGTATCTCACCCATTTCTGTCTCGTCATTGCCTGAGACAAAACAGGTGTGTTGCAACTGGTGACACTTGAAGTTTCCAATGAATGATGATGTTATATATATCAGTAGTTCTTGAATTTTAGTGGACATCAGAATCACCCGGAGGGCTTGTCTAACCACAGATTGCTAGGCTCCACTCCCAGAGTTTCAGATTCTGCAGGTCTGGTGTAGGGCCTGGGAATTTGCTTTTGAGTTCCCGGTGCTGCTGCTGGTCTGTAGCTGGACTTGGGTCGTGGATTCTGCATCACCTTGAGAGGCAGAGACTAAGCTATATGCATCCCTGGGTTACACTGAGAGGATCCATAGCACATTCTTGAGCGTAATGAGAGTTCTTCATAACATTGCAATCATTGTGATTTTAT